TGCTGTGTTGGTGTTGTTGGGTGTATAAGGGCCACTGAGACATAAGCCTTACATAGTGGTGGTGGTGGTGATAGAGACTAGAGACGGCGGTGTTACTCGCCCTATATAACTCCAACAATATTGGAGGAGTTAGGTTCGTGCTGTCCTTTTTCTATCGATTAATTGCTTAACTTACTTGCTACACTGTTAATGCTACACTTTATCGCTGGCTGGCTCTATATCCTTTATCGACTCATGCTGCTTTAGTATCATACATATCATAGAATCAATGAATCACTGAAAAAGGCACAGTCTCCCCTCTCTCTTCATCCTCCACTTTGGTACTCTGCTACGAGTTCTTTCTTGAATTCTATAGTCTTTCTCACCTTTACCAAAGGGCTGGCATTAGTACAATATTTTATGATATTTTCATGTGTTTTATGACTGTTCATGGTTCAATAGGTTAAGGAAGCAGTATTGTTAAGCTAAGTACAGTAGGGCCCCACTTTACGGCATTTTGCTTTACGGCGTTTTGCTCTATGGCGTTTTGCTCTACGGCGTTCTGCTTATACGGTCATTTAAAATTATGACCTAAACACTTAATACAGCTCACCCCACCTGACTTTCTAATACGGTCACTGCACCCCACCATGTTTGTTTACATTCTCCATGAGCTCCGTTGTTACACCCTTTTGTTCATTTTAAATAGACAATTTCTACTTGTTATTATTATTATGGTATACTTTTACATGTTATTTTTGCTATTTCACTTAATATTATATTCAGGAGTAATTCCATTAGTAGCTAAAATGGATTTACTCGACTTTATAATATTATCTGGTTGTATATTACTGAAGGAGGGGTGTTAATGTTGCAGTTTAAAAACTGTAGTGTAAAGCACCCTTCTGGCAAGACAGTGATGGAGTGAATGATGGTGAAAGTTTTTCTTTTTCGGGCCACCCTGCCTTGGTGGGAATCGGCCAGTGTGATAATAAAAAAAAAAATAATAATATTACTTAGCTTTGTATATAGGTAGGTTACTTAATTAGTCTAAACTGCTGGTGTGACCTGGCCAAGCACCAGTAGGTGTCCTGAGTTCCTCAACCCCTGCTCTGATTAAGTCAAAGTTGGCTGGTAAAGCCTTACTTTGTTCAGTTCATACCTTCCTCTTGACCAGGTAGGGTCTAGGGAAGTATCCAGTTCTAAACCACCATTCGACTCCCTAGAAGATACCAGGAATTTTCAGAAACTCATCACCCTCTGGTGATGTGGCTGGTGCCAGAGTCAAAGTGAGCAGCTGGTGAGCTGACATCCCTGGGAGAGGTGCCTGAAACTGGGGCGTTTAATCACCCAGTTTCTGACCCTGGTCCACTAGAAGCACCCGGCGCAGGTGCTCGACCCAAGGAAAGACGGGAAAACTTGTATCCCCCAATTCCTCCACTACCGACTGGGCCCATATCACAAAGCCAGTTCGAAAGGATGGAGCGCCTTATTATTTTACAGACGGCCCAAATAGAAGCCCAAAGGAAGCTGAATGCAGAAGAGTTTGAGAGGGATACCATACTCTACGAACATCAGCGGCAAAGGGAAGGAGCTGTGAGGCCCGAGGCCCCCCAGAAATCCTTTTGACATCCATAAAGCAGCAGCTCTGGTGCCCAAGTTTTGCGAGTCTGATCTGGACACATACTTCAATACTTTAGAAAATCAGGCTCAAGCTATGCAGTGGCCCCGAAAATTCTGGGCTGTCTTGTTGCATATGACGCTGACTGGTAAAGCTCGAGAATGTACCATGGCTTTGCCATACGAAAAGTACGTACAATATGACTGTCAAAAAGGTTATACTGGAGACCTATGACCTACTCCCTTTGAGCTACCAGCAAGCCTTCTGTACTCTGCAAAGGTTACCAGGGCAAACTTGGGTGGACTTCACCAGGCAGAAGAAGGTAGCTTTAGAGAGGTGGCAAAGAGCCTCACAAAGCAACACCATACGCGTAGGGGTTTTTGTCGTACTAGTACGCATAAATTCTAGCGGCCTCAAATCTCACAGGAAAAGGCTGATAAGCCTAGATGTGAGAGAATGGGTCTGTGTGGTGGGTGTGCGCAGTAGGAAAAAAATCTGGGACCCAGTGGTGCATTGTGGGAATGCCATCATAGTACACAATTTCCACCGTGCCCTGTGGTAAGAAGTTCCTCACTCCTCGGCGAATTGGGACACTTTTGTTCCCCAGTGACAGTTCTAATACAGATGGAAGTGACAGTGAAGATGAGTTTCAAGGTTCTGGTGAGGTTTTGACCGAAACTAATGACCATAATATGGGTAATAGTGAGGAAAACCCAGACAACCCACAGCCTTCCACCTCTGGTGCTGGCCGTCTTGTTCATGTTCAGTTGTACCAGAATCAAAGAGGAAACTCCTATTTTCCAAAATCCCAGACTCAGATGTGAGCATTGGTGATGATAGTGATAGTGATTATGAACTACAAGCTCTTCAAACTTGTTCCAAGAATGGAGGAGGAGGAGGAGGCAGAGGAGGAGGAGGCAGAGGAGGAGGAGGCAAGAGGAGGAGGAGGCAAGAGGAGGAGGAGGCAAGAGGAGGAGGAGGCAAGAGGGAGGAGGAGGCAGAGGAGGAGGAGGAGGAGGAGGAGGAAGAAGAAGAGAGGAGGAGGAGGAGGAGGAGGAGGAGGAGGAGGAGGAGGAAGAAGAGGAGGAGGAGGAGGAAGAAGAGGAGGACGAGGAAGAAGAAGAGGAGGAGGAGGAAGAAGAAGAATACATAATGATAACAATAATACATAATAATAATAATAGATAATAATAATAATACATAATAATAATAATAGGTAATAATAAATGTTCACCCAAGACAGTAACATGATAAGGGGAGATAACATCTGATAAGTGCTGACGTTTGATGAGGGTAAATGAGGGTAGAGCTGATGCCAAAAGATGAGATAAACATCTCCCTCCCTTTGTTTTTGCTGGTATACTAACATTTCTGTCTGTCTATTTGCCTGTCTGTCAAGCTCCCTGTCTATCCGTCTAGCTCTCTGTCTCAGAGAGCCACAAGACTGTGTCATCACTTTTACTCACATCTTCAAGCAGAGTATAGCACTTTGTCTGGGTTTCTTGGGTTATCCTAGGTAATTTATACTATGTATACTTGTATTTATATATACCTGTGAGACAGAGATAAAAAGACAGATAGAATGAGGGAGAAAGATAATTAGATAGAATGGAGGAAGGGAAGCAGCATCCGACCCCATTGTTTTGACAGGCGGGAGGGGGAAGTGAGTAATGAGACAATATGTCATTTTGACAGCTGCCGACTCCTGGTAATTTACACTATGGAGGAGAAGGAGAAGGAGGAAGAGGAAGAAGAGGAGGAGGAGGAAGAGGAAGAGTAGGAGGAAGAGGAATAAGAGGAAGAGGAGGAGGAAGAGGAATAGTAGGAGGAAGATTAGGGGAAGAGGAGGAAGAGGAAGAAGAGGAGGAGGAGGAGGAGGAGGAAGAGTAGGAGGAAGAGGAAGAGTAGGAGGAAGAGGAAGAAGAGGAGGAGGAGGAAGAGGAGGAGGAGGAAGAGGAAGAGTAGGAGGAAGAGGAAGAGTATGAGGAAGAGTAGGGGAAGAGGAGGAAGAGTAGGGGGAAGAGGAGGAAGAGGAAGAAGAGAGAGGAGGAGGGTGGAACACTAGTACACTGGTACTGGTACACTAACATTTCTGTCTGTCTATTTGTCTGTCTGTCAAGCTCCCTGTCTATCTGTCTATCTGTCTAGCTCTCTGTCTCAGAGAGCCACAAGACTGTGTCATCACTTTTACTCACATCTTCAAGCAGAGTGTAGCACTTTGTCTGGATTTCTTGGGTTATCCTAGGTAATTTATACTATGTATACTTGTATTTATGTGTACCTGTGAGACAGAGATAGACAGATAGAAAGAGAGAGACAGATTGAAAGAGATAGAATGAGGGAGAAAGATAAAACACCATTGTGTATGACACCATGTTTCAGAGTTCCACAAGCTGCAGAACTAATAGGAATATGTTCAGTGACTGTATATTGGTATATATATTATAGAACAATAATAATAAACAATGTTTTGTATTGTTTTTGTAAACAAGTTTTGTAAACAATATATTGATAATTATGTTTGTGTGCTTATTGTGTTGTATACAACGAGTGTATATATGTACATTGCACCTTACTTTGGTCTCATAGGCCACATAAGTTATATGAAAAAATAAAATAGTGAAAAAAACAACAAACCTTCAAATACAAGTAAACTAAAGTTTACCGGGTGAGCGGCAGTCGCCGCTGTTGCCATACGCGGCTCATTTTCTGCAAACTTCATGCATCCATATCTCCATAAGTATTGATGGTAAATTTTTTTTGTTTATCCTATAATGTTTAGAAAAAAAAACTCTATTTTTTCATAAGAAAAAATAATTTTTTTTTTTTTTTAAATTTGGCCGACCCTGAGAACGAGTTTCGGAGAGGGCCTGTCGACCCTCAAAGGGTTAATACTACAAGAGGACTTCTATAATTCTATATCTGGGGATTTGAGGAAGTTCCTGATCGACCATCAAACACCTGATGTGATGGAGACCGCTGCACTGGCCGATCACTATGAGATCTCCAGCCAGCTGATCAGTGATAGAACATCCAGAGAGGAAGCAGTAAAATCAGGCCAAAAGGTTCGACCAATTAAGTCAAGAACAGAACCTCGCCAAAAATTTCCTTCAGAAGCAGTGACCTCTTGTACCCTGGATAAGCCATGCAGTGGTGACCGGTTTCAACCACGACAGAACAGGGAGGTGTATAAAGCCAGGAAGAACTTGTCCTGTTCATATTGCCAAAAGGGAGGTCATGTGGGAAACCAAAGTTATCAGCTGGAAACGGATAGGAAATATAAGTATCGAGAAGGTGCTCCTATGCAGATGGTATCTTCAGTAGCCCACATGCAGGGGTGTCTACAGATGGATCTAGGGCTGGCAGAAGAAGATCGCTTGAGAGATCAAAGTCCACTGACATCTGCGGCATCGCCCCGTCGTCTGCTTCCACAACTACTTCGAAAATGATGCCAACGTCTACATCATCCTCGAGAACTGTGCCCGAAGGAGTTTGGTGCACATGTTGAAGCACTGACGCACACTGACGGAGCCCGAGGTGTGCTACTACATGCCTCAACTGGTGGAAGGGGTAGCGTACATGCACCAGCTGCAAGTTATACACAGGGACCTCAAACTGGGCAACATGTTCCACACTGAAGACATGCTCATGAAGATAGGAGACTTTGGCCTTGCCACCTACAGGAATGTAACAAAATGTGGAAAACCGAATTACATAGCACCAGAAGTGTTGAACAAGTTGGGTCATTCTTATGATGCTGATATATGGGCCATGGGCTGTATCTGCCTCTGCCTGTACCCAGGTGCCAAAGTTCGGTTTAGAAGTTATTGGGAAGTCTATGTCAATGCCAGAGCAACAACTACAACACCCGCCATTGCTTCCCCAGTTACAGTCTCATCAATCTCTCACCCAGGATATTAAGAAGATTATTACCTCAGTCTCAACCCTATGCATCCCTAACCAGCAACTTCAACCAGGTAAGATCTCCATTTTGGATGGTGGTCTGGGAAGTCCCCCTAATAGTAGGCCAACCACTGGTAACTCAAAGGAGGAAAATAGGAAGAAAGACTCTGGAGGAACCTTGTCATCTTGTCCACGTCAGAAATTGTCCTGTCATTTGTACTACGGACAATAAGGCTTCTACTGGAAACCCAGTGGGTAAGAAGAGACATCACCTCAGACACACTTTACAATCTTTTGGCTGCCTGTCTTAACAATATGCCAGATGATATGAGCAGTAATCCATCAGTGCAGAGCCCCTCACTTTTCTTTATATCAAAGTGGATAGATTATTCCAACAAATATGGTTTGGATATTAGCTCCCGGACAATGGTGTTGGTGTGTTCTTCAATGATCCGACTCGAATAAGCATCAGTCCAGATAAAATGAGAGTTGAATTTACAGACCCTTTTGGAAGGCTTGCTGTACATCAGGCATGTGCCTTGTCTGCGTGGCTACAGGAACGTTACTAACGTTACATGGATTAAGATCTTACCAAGGCTGGTGATTCTCGAACAGCACGGCCCGCGGCAGAAAGACTGTCTGTCATACCTCACAACTAGTCATAACTATGCAACTTAGTTATGGAACCTTTAAGATAAATTCTTTCAAAGAATTCACTAAGATAGTGATTACCGGTGACTGCACCCATGTCAGCATCATGTTCCTCAGCAGTGACAGGCAATCCTTTATATATCGTCTGTCTTAACTTGCCAAACTTAGCTGTGATGCAATGGTGTGCAAGCGCTTAGTTTATGCTCTGTCCTGTCTTTGGCAGTATGCAGATTTAGATGGAGAAGAAGTCTAAAGAAGAGAATTTACTAGTTCCAGAGCTATTTTTTGGATATTTGATGGAAACTGGAATGGATTAGTACCCTACAGGACCAAATGAGAGAGAGACATTGTCCTGTTCCAAGACTGAATGTCTTAAAATGTTAAGTCATATGTACATTTTGGTGATGGTACTGAAAAGTTGCTGAGCCTTAATGTGCAACCTCCTTAAACTATGCAATACATGTAAATTGTACATGTTTGTTATGCTGCACAGAAGTTCTGTTTCCATGTGACCATTATTTCTGTTATTTTTTTTATTATCACACTGGCCGATTCCCACCAAGGCAGGGTGGCCCGAAAAAGAAAAACTTTCACCATCATTCACTCCATCACTGTCTTGCCAGAAGGGTGCTATACACTACTGTTTTTAAATTGCAACATTAACACCCCTCCTTCAGAGTGCAGGCACTGTACTTCCCATCTCCAGGACTCAAGTCCGGCCTGCCAGTTGGTAGACAGCAACCACCCAGGGAAGTATTACCGTCCTGCCAGATGACTGTGAAACAGAAACCTGTAACTGTTTTGCATGATGGTAGGATTGCTGGTTTCTTTTTCTGTCTCATAAACACGCTAGATAACAGGGATATCTTGCTACTCCTACTTACACTTTGGTCACACTTCACAGACATGCACATGCATATATATATACATACATCTAGGTTTTTCTCCTTTTTCTAAATAGCTCTTGTTCCTCTTTATTTCTTCTATTGTCCATGGGGAAGTGGAAAAGAATCTTTCATCCGTAAGCCATGCGTGTCGTATGAGGCGACTAAAATGCCGGGAGCAATGGGCTAGTAACCCCTTCTCCTGTAGACATTTACTAAAAAAGAGAAAAAGAAAAACTTTATAATTATTTCTGTTACTGTTACATATTATTGTAAGCCAACTGGCTTATTCTCTATAAGGATTACAATGCTGAGTTTACAGAATTTGGTTATTGTGTGGTTTACATGTACTAAAATAATAATTACAGAGTGTACCACTAGAACACCTAGCATGGCTAGGCATTTCGGGCAGACTTAAATTAAATCTTAATTTAAATTAAAAAATTTAGTTTCTAAAATTGCAAAAAAATTTTTTATTGGGGG